AATATCCACCGTAATCAATAAAATAATCCAATAGAGTAGCAGGCACGATCAGTAATATAATCCAGCAATATCCCATCACGTTTCCCAATAACTGAACGACACACAGTATCAGGAGCAGAACTAAAGCTTTTAATCAAACACTCTGCTTTTATGCCCATTCTTACACAAAAAGGGCTGCCCACAGGGTTTTGAAGAACAACCAATCAATACGTTACAACACAGCTAAACACTCCCATTCATGACATCAGACATCCTCCCCTCTGCCTGTGATACAATTATCTCAACACAATAGACTAACTTAATTATCACAGGCAGAAAATATACAGTTTTTAGAAAATATTAATAACTTCCAAAATATACATGCCATTCACATAAAGCATACATTTTCAGAATCAGCACACTTGAAATATACACACTCAAAAATCATACAAATCTCCCGAGTAGTTCAAAGGTTAGTCGGGCGTCCTTTTCTGACCAACCGCAAGCCTATTTTCCTGCCCAAAACAGTTCCATGGATTTGGGCTGTGCGGTCGGTCAATTTCATACAAGAAAAATGTCTAAGTCTCATTCGAATCCACGAATGGGGCCGTTCGTGCAAATAGTACAGCATAACCTGGCGTTCGAATTGTCGAACGCACTTTGACTTTAGCCGAAGCGTCGAAGTGGATGAGAAGGTAAACTTCAGTGGTGTTCGTGCCGTCGAGTAGCCGATTTCAGTTCCATGAAATCGACGGCAAAACACCGCTGACCACATGCGAATGAACTAAAATGGCCACCGCAACGTGTTCGGCTGTCGAATGGCGGCCACTTTGATTACTTCGGCTGCATCTGAAGTGCCATAACAAAGCTGCAGGTCTTTTCCTAAAGTACTTAAAGGGCCAGAAACAGTGCAGTACAATACAATATGCCCAAATACTGTCTTTAAAGGGCTATACCCCCAGGGCCATAGTCACATGGCAGGAGGCGGGCAAGCAAGCCCCTCCAAAAGCTCATGGAAAACTCTTTTAAAGGGGTGAGTTTGCTACAGGCTGTGACAGAGAAAAGGTGTATGTAGTGAGTGTAGAAGAAAAGGGACATGCCACAGTGTTAAAGAGACCAAAGTCTGCAGGGGGGCTAGATGGTAGTTTTAACAAAATTGATGGTAGTTTTAACAAAATTGGGTCAGAAAGACATGATTGTGTTCCTGACCCTACAGTGCTCCTTTAAGCAAGAGTATGTGAAGAGTAGTTAGGGTTGGCACCTTTCTTGGAAAAAAATACCAGCCTTAATCATTTGTATAATTAATTAGTTACGCGTGACTCACGTGATGTAAATCACAAGGAGTGACATAAGAGAAAATTCTGTAAAATCACCAACAAACTACTTACAGTTTGATTCTGCTAAATAGATGAATTGCTCCCAGTGTCTCCCTGTCTCCCAGTGTCTCAGTCTCGCAAGTCACCCAGTCTCTCAGTGTCATTATGTATCACAGTGTCAGTGTCCCCATGTCACCCAGTCCCCTAGTTTCCCAGGGTCTGAGTGTTTCTCCATGTCACTAGGATACAAGGGGACACAGTGATACATGGGTACATTGAGAGACGCGGGGACACTGAGACACTTGGGGACACTGGGAGACAGGGAGCACTGAGACACTTGGGGACAATGGGAGACATGGGGATACTGAGTCACTAGGGACACTGAGCCATGGGGACACAGACACTGGGAGACCAGGGAAAACTGGGAGCCATGGGAACACTGAGACACTAGGGACATGAGGACACAGTGTCCCTAGTTTCTCCATGTCCCCATGTGTATCAGTGTCCCCAAGTGTCTCAGTGTCCCTAGGTCTCATGGTATCCCCTAGTGTCTGTGTCCCCATGTGTCCCCTAGTTTCTCAGTGTCCCCATGTGTCCCCTGGTGTCTCAGTGTCCCCATGTCTCCCTGCTGCCTTTCCCCCATCCCTCACTTACCTGAGCTGTAGAGCTGCTGTCTGGACTCTATGTGCTGTGTAGCTGCTTCCCCACTGATCAGTGAGTAATAGAGAGAGACAGGAAGGGATATGCTGTAACTTCCTATCCCTGCCTCTCTCCACACACAGTGACCTCTACTGTCTGGTGCTGGTATTGCAGAGTAATCTCTGTCTATACCGAGAAAAATACCTGCATTAAATGGGCCTATTCCATGGGCCTTGGCCTGGAGCTGCAGCTCCATCAGCCCCTATGTTAATCCGGCCCTGGATAAGGTGTCCGTAGTTAGAAAATAGTAAGTGGTCTAGTAATAAATTCAGAAGAAAAAAAATAATAGTTGGGCTAATCACATGGAAGAAAATCAGGTAAAAAAAAAGTCAAAAGAATAGGAGTGCAAATATATTGCTGGCATTCAAACAAACAGCCACTACACACAAATATACCACTGCAATCACACAGGTTGACCATCCACAAGAATATAAATTTCCATATGCACCAAAACACTAAATTACACACACAATATAAAACCAAAACTTGCATTCACACACCTACAATTTATGGAACATGACTTCAGGATTAAAAAGACCAGGCATTGACAACTTTCTTTTCCACCCAATCCTTTTAACAGATATTTATTTGGCTGTAATGTTCCACCACTCCACCTGTTACAGACTAAACCAGCAGTGAGAACAAAAATGAAACCAAGAGAGCCTACTCCCATTACATAATGCAATAACTTTTTATTTTTTATGTAGCAATTACTAATTTGCCTCCAATAGAATTAGTACATTTGGAGTTAAAGCTCTGGTACCAACTGACAGTAAGATATTAATCCTGGGGCCCACGCCGCATTCAATCTTGTCCAGCAGGAGAAGCAGGATGTCTCAGCAAATGACCGTTTCAGTCAATAAACGTAGTCCTGCTTTGAACAAACATCTGTCTTCTCCTGATGGGGAAGACCAGTTGTGGCATGGCCCAGACGGACCCAGGTAAATTGTCAAACTGTGCTAAAAATGGCTTGACAGGATTGCACCTGGTAGCATAACCAATGGGCTGCACAGGTTATGGCGCTTTGAGTTTTCCTTTAATCTGTCAAAAGACATTGTTAAAGGAACAACCAAATTTGGGAATTATCCCATTATACCGCAATTTGAAGACCGATTCAAATAGTAGTGGATTTCGGGCACGACCAACTGCGACCTCAGAACACTACCATGGATTCCTAAAACAACATACAAACACAAACACATCACCAACCCATTCGTGGCGGCTACTATGCAAGTCTGGCACACACAGGGCACGAAACAATACCTTCCGACGGACCCAGGCCCGCTCCTCCCCTTGAGAGGCAACCCAGACTTCCCGGCAGGAGACATGGGCCCAACCCCGAACCCAATAGGACACAAGCCAATCATCCGCATGCAGGACTTTCGACATCCGGCCACTGAACGAATTATTCTCGGACCGACCACCTTCATGCACACACTCCAGAGAGCGCAAATGGCACAATACGCCCGACCTATCCCTCAGAAACCATCCCTCCTGAGAGAACCAACATCATTTGAATTCCTCTGTATGCAAGACAAGGAACCGCCACGAGCTATATCACAGATCTACTCGGTTCTAATTACAAGCAGATACCTACTGGCACCCCTATGCATCAGACAGTGGGAGGAAGACCTAGACGAACCCATGACGGAGGCAGAATGGGACACACTCATCACCTTGATACAGAAAACACCGGGCTCAGCGTGCTTACAGGAGAACTCATACAAAATCTTCACCAGGTGGTACCTGACACCATCAACGCCAGAAACCCGGAGATAACAGACACCTGCTGGAGCTGCGAGGAGGCAGTGGGAACGTTCACACGTATCTAGTGGACATGCCCCAAGATCCGCCCATACTGGGAGACGATCAGGAATACTATACATGATATAACAGACGAGCTATTGCCAGAGACCCCAGCCGCCTTCCTTCTACACAAAACAACCATGCCAACACAGGCATATATCAGATCCATTATCCCCAGACTACTCAACGCGGCCAAGGCGACCATCCCCATCTACTGGAAGCAGACCACCACACCCCCACTGAGACGCTGGGTGGAAGAAGTGGAAGTGACGCGGAAATTCGAAGACATGAAAGCAAACACCCCGAGGCAAAGGGACCGCTATACATAACGCTGGTTCCACTGGCTACGCCACACCACATCAGAACCCTTTCAACGCCGCCTCACACCAAACTCTCCCGAGATGAACGAATGAGAGAAAGACAGACCCAGGCGGGGGTTCGGGAGGCCCTGGGGCTGGGCGGACCAGGCGGCGACAGGGGACAAGATAACTGACCACCAACCCTCAATCCCCTCACTCACCCCCTCAGGACCCTTCCACACACACTAACACACTCAAACAAACGACCACAGACACAAGAGAAGGCCACACTACCGGACGAAGAGAAGAAGACACATAACACAACCGCAACCACCCGCTAAGCGATACCCGCATGACATAACCAACCCCACACAACACAGACACCAGGGAACAATCCAAGAGACTAAAGCAGACAAGTATGAACCGAACAAGACACGACGGCGCAACATAAACACCCTCCAAACATCTGACACGATCACATGAGGTACGAGCCGCTACAACGGCCCCCTTCCCAAACAATAAAGAAAAAAACAAAACAGACACATACACTAACACAACTGTTAGAAACTTAAAACATATGCAAGACCGAAGTAATGGAAACACCCCGACCCGAGGAACTACACAGTGACAACTCAAGGATGCAAAACCACATGACACTTCAGACACCGTGCCACCCACTAGACCCCAGCAGACCCCGCAAAAACCACGACAACAAGCAATATAATAAGACAAGATGGCAGGGGCCACAACGGGGATGGACGGGAAAGACGCCAAATAAGAGACAGCAACCCAGACGCCCAAAACGCAACAAGTACTCACACCACATATCCATACAATGATCAACCACACACAGCCTTAAGAACGATTCAAACGCAATTAACGTGGGCTGACCCCACCATAGATGCGTCAAGAAGCGCTGCAACACGCAACGAGACCCAAAACATGCACCAGAATGTGCACCACAATCACCAAACAACACACACACAGGCAAAACCACACACAACACGCTAAATATGTCAGATGATAAAGCCGCAAATGATATAATCAAACCGCCTCTGCGCAGGCAACTAAATGTTATGTTTGATGCAATGAGAAACACGCCTCTGCGAAGGCGACTAAACGTTATGGTAAAGTATAATTGTAAACCAAGCCTCTGACATGATACCAATAAAGATAATTAAAACAAATAGTAGTGGATTAATCCAAAATCTGGAAATCTTTAACAGTTTGGGAGACAACATAGGATTAATAATACAAATTGTCCTGTTTTTGAAACCAGAGGGGGCGGCTAAAATCTGTTTTGAAAATGTAAAGAAAAAATAAATGAATGATCATTAAACTTTAAATTAACATCCAGTCATAAAAAAAGCTACATTTTAGCTTTACTGTCCTTTTAAAAGGCTAGTCTTCAAATGATATTCACTGCTTTCAATGTGTCTCTTATTGTATGAGTTAGATAGTTAATCACAACAGTCCCAAGAAAAAGCCAAAGTTTATTCACAATGCATACCCACTTTTAGAAACATACAAACGATTCATACTTCTATATTGTATCACAGTGTTAATCATGTATAATATATAATACACACATTCACTTATTTATATAGCGATAATGTATTCTACAGTACAATAGGAAACTAAACATCTGTGATATACAGGAACAGTAGATGAAGAGGGCCCTTCCCAAATTAGCTTACAAACTAAAGGGATGAGGAACAAATACACAAAAGGAAGTGAGGAAATAAAGTGATCTGAACATACTGGAGGATGGGAGGGAGGGGTGTGTGGCAGGAGGGAGCACAGTAGATGGAAGAAAGCAGAGTAAGGCTATATGGGATGAGGAGGGAAGAGTTGATAGGCATCTCTAAAGAAGCATGTTCTTAGGGTGCTTTGTTTTAAAGACTGCAGAGATGTGGAGAGGCAGCGGCAGTATTTAAAGACTATAGAGTGGCAATCTGGGAACTTTTCAGGCCAATGAGCAGGCAGTTACAATAATCAAGGTGGGAAACAACGAGAGCATGGACAAAAGTCTTAGTTGCATCCTGAGTAAGGAAGGTGAGAATGTGGGAAATGTTTTTAAGGTGAACACAACAGGAACTGGTGATTAATTTCATGTAAGGGGTGAAGGAAAGGTCGGAGTCAAAGAGCACACCGAGGCAACACGCCTGCTAAGTAGAGATTATGATAGCTCTGTTGACCTTAAGGGAAACAGGCACAGATGAAGCCTTAGAGGGAGTGAACACAAGGAGTTCTGTCTTGGAGATGAGTTTTAGAAATCGTTAAATTATCCAGTCAGAAATAAAGCACAGGCATACAGGGAGAAAGATCAGGTGAGTAGAAGTAGATCTGGTTATCATCAGACTACAGTGATAATGAAAGCTATATGATTATATCAGGCCACTGAGAGAAGCATTGTCAATTGAGAAAAGAAGAAGAATAAGTACAAAGCCTTGAGGAACTTCAATCAAAAGGTAAGGAGAGACCAGGGAAGGAGATACTGAAGGACCATTCACAAAGGTAGGAAGAGAACCAGGAAAGAGGAGTGTCACCAAGGCCAAGGTAACAAAGGGTGAGAAAGAGAAGCGGGTGGTCAACAGTGAAACATCAAGAACAAGTAGCAAATAACAGTGTTTGGATTTGGATATCACTGAGTCATTAGTCAATGTGGTCAGGGAAATCTCAGTGGAATGTTGAGAGCGGAAGCCAGACTGTAGCAAGTCGAGTAAGGAATTGGAGTTCAGATGGTCTGTAAGTTGAGTATGAATAAGTCCTTCAAAGAGCTTGGAGGCAAAGGGAAGGAGAAAGAGTTAGAATTATAGCTAGGCAAAACATCAGGGTCAAGAGGAGGCAAAGAGAAGGAAAAAGTGATAGGATTATAGCTAGGCAAAACATCAGGGTCAAGAGAATGTTTTTTTTAATATGGGCATGATTACCACATGTTTGGAGGACGAAGGAGAAATGGAAGATTTTATTGTAAGATGAGAGAGACAAAGTCATGTGCAAAGAAATGTGATCAAGGGAGCACGTGGTAGGGCAGGAAGAAAGCAGAAGCACAAACACCTCCTCTTCGGAAACAAGGGAAAATACAAATTTCCTGAGACATGTGTCCATCAAGTTCAGCCTTTCTCACATCTGTTTTTTTCTGTTGATCGAAAAGAAGGCAGAAAATCCAGTTTGAAGCACTTCCAATTTTGCAACAAACTAGGAAAAAAATGCTTCATGACCCCAGAATGGCAGTCACATATCTACATGGATCAAGAAGTTATTACCACACAAATTAAAAAATAATATAACTGAATTATATTCTGTTGTTGCAAGTATTTATCCATTTGCTGTTTAAACATTTAAAATGTTTGTCTTTCCCTGGTCTTCATTAGCTAACCTGCCCATCTCTGTTTTCAGTGTACCTACAGTTGCACTTTTGAAAAAAAAAAAAAATTATTTATGTACATAAAAAATATTTTGGCGTTTGTTTTGCTCTCTTTATTTATCACTTTATCATTTTTAGTTTAGCCATTCAAATTGCCTTTTTGCATGCATTATTGGCTTCCTTATATCTTATATACAATGCCTCTGATTTGTCTGATTTAAATGCTTTAAAATGCACTTTTCTTTTTTTTAATCTTTTGGTTTACTTTCCCACTAAGCCCCATTGGTCTCTTTTTTTATTTATTACCTAATGGTACATACTGAGAAAAGTACCTTTCTGATATTTGTTTGAAGATATTCCATTTCTACTCAGTGTTTTTTTATTTTTCATTAAAGAGTTTATACCAACTAAAGAGTTCACAGTTTCAGGGAAGAAGGCCAGACAAAGGTTGGACTGTTGGGGGGAGAAGCGAGTAAGGCAATTTCTTTCCAGATTTTTTTCAATCTTTGCTGTGAAGAAGGATAGAAAATTGAGTGCAGAAGGTGGAGGCAAAGTGGGGCACATTAGTGTGGTAAAAGTTTGAAAGAGATATTTAGGGTCGTGGAAATGAAGGAGGTGATGTATGTTTGTTTTGTGAAGGTGCACATGGATATGCGCATATCTGTAATTCCTAAAGTCATCTGTACAACAACATTTCCTCCAGTAACGTTCCGCCACCATAGCATACCTTTTAAGGTATCAGGTGGATTTGGTATGCCAGAATTGGAATTAATTTTGTCAGACAGGGCGAACAGTGATTGGACATAGTTTTTCGGTACTTGAGAGGGTGGATATTTAGTAGAAGAAGCCCACAATGCAGAAAAGGCTGGAAGCACGGAATCAGGTTTGCAGTACAATAGGGTCGGATGAAGAATGGTCAGGAGAGCCAAAAGGTCAAGACAGGCAGCAAATGATCGTAGTAAGGATTCAGGCAAGGGTCAATATCACGAAAACAGCAGGATAGGAACTGAAGGTGTGAACACCACAGGAGCACAGTATAACTGAGAGATGAGTTTTAGTAGGAGTGGAGTTTAAATAGGGCAAAGGAGGTATGTCCACTTACTTTTTCTCCACCTCCTGAAAACACCCCTTTGTCAATTCCGCCTTCTGCCCCTTTAAGAAGATGTTGCTTCGGCGAGCATGCGCCATAGGGCCCTCCTGTTCTGCCTCAGTTGTCTGGTATGCTGGCTCCTGATTCATAGTGCCGCTCATGGAATGTGGCACTGCTTGGCCCCTCATGAATACGGCTAGTCGGCGGGGTGAGCAGGCCGACCATGTGGCACAGGACTACACATTCCAACCCGGTGCCTCCATGTAGATAGAAGGGGATGCGTCGTGGGATCTCGAGATAAGGAGGCTATGGAGCAGGGGCCTGACAGTAGATGCCGCAGATAATCATGTGGTAGTGGAGATCAGTTAGATGAGGAAATGGATGTCAATGGAAAGTTTCTGCAGGTCAAGGGATTTCAGGTTTCTGCAGGGTCTAAGTCTGACACATGAGTGTGGTTGGACAGGGGCCCAAGATAAGATTACAGATTAGGAGATGGTGATCAAAGAGAGGGATAGGTGTGTTAGTGAAAGAACAAAGGTTAGAGAATATAAACTCTAAAGTGTTGTCAGCTTGAAGGGTAAAAGGAAAAAATAAAATTTAATTAAAAATAAATAAAAAAATCAGACTACTGCATGAGTCCTATGGAGGTGGTCATAGAGAGGAATTTAAAGGCCTCAGAGCTAATTGGTGCATTTATGGAGATGTTAAAAAGAGGGTCAGTTTAAACACATATTGGGCTGAGAGGGTCATAAAATTGGGCTGGATTAATGGTCATTGCCATGGAACAGCCCTGGAAATAATTCAGTTGAATTGCCAGAGATAAGCAAAGCAGAAAACAATACTATACAAACAGAATATATACATGTAACAGATCCCCTATACTCCGGCTGAGTATTTCCTTTATAAGTCTCCCCAAATCTCAAGTGACACAGTGATCAGAGCTCGTAGATACCCAAACATCAGCTGAGACTTGATGAAGGGTACAACAGGAATGTTTTAATGGGATACAGTACAGCCAATTTATACAAAACATGGACACAGTCAAACCCGCCCTGGAACACTCCGACAGCACGCTCATAACTGTGCACAAAGAACATAACGCATAAAAATACCCAAAAACAAACAAAAAAAAGACATAAAATAACCCCACACACAATATATCCCCAAATAGCTCCTGGTCCCAGCTATGATCCTTGCAAATACCAGAGCTATCGGATGTACAGAGCCCAAAAAATCGTCGTAGAAAGTCTTGGCTTGAGGCTCTGTACATACCCCCAAATAATTCGACAGAATCACTTGGTTTAGGCCAGTAGATTCAAACTTTGCACCTAAACCACGCGGTGACCAATCAGTGCTCAGAGAGGGGAGGGGTTCCAAGCTAAGCTCTTTAACTCGTGCCGGCTTATCAGAAAAAAGGGCACAAACCCAGTTTGCATTGTGGCCCCTTCTCCTATTGGTCGCCTCAACCACTCAGCGGCCAATCAGTGCTCAGTGAGGGGAGGTGTCCCGAGCTGAGCCATTTAACTTGTGCCGGCCTATCGGGAGAAAGGACACGAACCAGTTTGAATGATAGCTTCTTCTCCTATTGGTCGGCACGGACTTCCATGTGGCCAGTGGGACTCTGCGGCTGTGAAGCCGACTCATAGCTCCAGAGGGTCTGCAAGGGCTTGCGTCTCTTTCCGGTGGATATCTCCACT